GTGTTGCATATTTGCAAAAAAAAATGAAATATATATCGAAATTATATATTTATTAATATTATTTTGTTTGGCGTTGGAAAATTTGTTTCATTATACAATAGAACTACTATCTAACTTCAAACGTGTATAAGTCATATCTCTCAAGTATTCCTAGTCGTTGTCTAACAATCTTAAGTTTTCAATAGGGCTGATAATAGTACGTTCATGTCAAATACTCGCCTTGACAGATATTATGTGTATGTACAATATTGAATAGTATTGTTTCCTAACATTTATTCTCTTTAGATTGTGACAAATAATTAAAATAAAAGATGAATATACGCTCTCTTTCTTTTTCTCTTTCTCTTTCTTTTTCTCTATTTTTCTGATGTACATAAGAGTCATTATGTATTTATTAAATTAAACGTATTAATAGGAAAGTGGTGTAAGTTAAGAAATTTATTAACTAAATGAAAATCTTATTATGACGCAGAATCATAATAAAGTATCTATAATGTAAGAAACGCAAAAATACGTGGTGAAACTACATGAATGGATTCTTCATTTGTAGAGAAGAATAATAAGTTATGTCAAAATGGCCCCGGAAATGTTTAATTTTTGAATTATAAGACTTTCAAGTATGATTTTAGTATACATCATACACAATACAAATTATATTTGTTTGCTAGGATTATATTACAATACACTTTGTCGATAATTCCTTATGTGAAATGTTCAAAATGTATACCGCCTGCCCGAATATAGACTTCATTTTGTCATTTCATTGAGTTTCGAATACGTTTAGCTACTTATGATTGTTAATACGGTAATCCATTTGTAAATATTACAGACATTCAGTACGAAAAGAAATTCAGTAAATGTAATTACATATTTTAACATGATGTAATCAGTGTTTTGGTTTTAATTTCAGCAAATAAAATAAAAATAATAGGAATTTACCAACAATAAAATTATTCTTGAAAGATTTATAACTCAGAAATTAATCATAATTTGGGGCTTATTTTGATGTAATTGTTGAGGTCTATTTTTTTCTCTATATATGAGAAATTCATTCGTAAAATTTTGTCGCATATTTTTGTTACACTTTTTTATATATGTATATATTTTTTTTGTTACACTTTTATATATTTGAGAAAATACAAAGCTAAAACTCAATTATAAACTCTTTGACTCGCATCACTTTCATTTTATGTGATTATTAATTTTTAAATGTAATTACGTTAACTTACAGAGCGTTGTATCTGCATTCTCATGAAATTCGTCCCTGAGTATGACAGTTCTGATTTCTCAGCTGATCAAAAAAATACTCCGTTGTTGTATTAACAGTAATTAACATCGAGATTATCGAAATGAATAAAATACATCCATGCGTTCTTACACATCCGAGAGTATATGCATAGAACGTAGAAAAAAATTTATTAGCAACGGCACGTTAACATAGAATTTTAAATGATGGTTTTAGAATGGTCTTAGAAAAAGCGTTTATATATTTTTCGTTGTTATTGACTACGCCTGCAGTAATAGCCCAGAATTTTACATTTCTCACAGAGGTGTTGAGGATGTTCTTTACTCTGATCGGACACGTCTAAGCCGTCGGGTTGTTCTAATGGTCTCTGAAAGTAACATGGAAGTATAACGAAAGAAAAATTGAATAAAATAGAAAATTATAGAAAATAATTCGATAATTATGTTAAAGAGAACTGTTAGAAAAATTGATAATATTTTTATGATTATACGAAATTAATAAGTATTATATTCTGTATGTTATTTAACAAAAAAAAAAAATGTGTATATATTTTTTTTTTTAATATAGAAAGAAATTCCCGTGAAAAGGAAAAGGAAAGTTCGTCGTAACATAATCATTCGATGAATCCGCTCAAGTATTTCTGTACGGTAGTCGATGAGCCTGAGCGCGACTATGTAACTATAATTAGATTTTGCCCGTTTTCACATACATATCTGCGAGCATAATACTTCAGCAAAATAACAAGATAAATTATTTGATATAAACAATATCATAATAGTACGTAACTCCATTCGAAAAATTTCTAAGATCATGTCTCATTATGGGAAATTGTCAAAAGTCCATTACGACAGTCTCACCTGTTTATGAGGATACACGTTAATATGACACTTCATGCATTCTTGACCCATATTAGCCCAACTATTGCCTGACATCCATTTACGTTTGCATTTCGGACATTTGTATTCTCCGAAACATCTTTTTTTACCTTGATAAGGCGTAAGACCTTCGCCTTTTGGACGAGCCTAAAGTAGGAAGTTATTTTATATTTTAATTAGATGAAAAAAATATTTTTTTAATCAAAAAAATAATGATAATTAATCTATCAAATATATAAATTTTTCTATTTAACGTCTTGTTTGGTAAAGAGAGATCAAGATCATCGTATGACTTAGCTGAATTACAAATATAGAGACTAATTGTATGTGAAAAGAAAAAAGAAAACAATAATTAATCCCGTCGTTAATGCAATTGGAGAGAATAAGGAGATAATTTAAAATTGTAAGAAAACGTATTATTATACTGTTCAAAATAATAGTAACGTATTACAGTTCGGATCGTAAAGATTCATAGAATGCCTTTCGAAGCAGTATTTGTGACGTCATCAACTTTAGAGGAGTCGTTTGTTGTCTCAATTAGCGCTCAATTGATCGTCGTATCACGCTGTTATATCAAGGCACGCGCATCGTTTACGAACGGCCATGAATTTATGGGTAACATGCAAATTTTGAATTTTTTTTTCTTTTTTTTTTTAAATAGACGTTACTTTATAGATAGAATGAGATAGAAGCACCATCATCGTACCTGCGGACAATCCTTGATATAATGACCCTTTTTGAAGCACAAATGACACAAGTACGTAGACGGTGGCCTCTTTATTGGTTTTCTATCTAACAGATCCAATTCGGTAAAATGTTCAGCGAGATCACCGATACTATCGGCTAGACTGGCACCTATTGCTCCGGAAGCATTCAAAGTGTTTTGATGTAGATAGGTTTGAGAGTTTGCCGTTGTGTAATTGCTCCAAATCGCAGGCAGAAGCTTTTTCTTAAACAATAAGCAACCGCAAAGGTTTTGGCAAATTCATATCATAAGGAGTTTAAAGCTTTTTATAAACATTAACGATAGGTAGAAATTAAACTATTTTAAATGATTTACCTGATCGGAAAGTTGCGCCGAGTTTTGATCGGTAATTGCCAAATATACCCAATTCAACAGGTGAGGCTGATAATGGGTTTGCTGGAGCACTTTTTGTCCTTGACTACCGACTCCATTGATAGTACCCAGTCCAACCTGAGTTTGTTCCTGCAGTTGCAGATGCTGCATCAGTGGTCTAGGATGGCAGGTAGCCATTGGGGTTTCGTTACCGATCACAATCGTGAGAAATCTCACCGTTTTCGATAACGCCGGATTAACCGGCGTAGTTGGATTTTCGTGAGACGAACGAGCATCGCCTCAAGAGCCTTTTTTGAATCTGTTCTCTCACTTTCTCTCCCTCTCCCTCTCTCTCTCCCTCTCTCTTTCTCTCTCTCTTTCTCGGAGAAATCGTTTCAATTGTTTATCACCGAAGAATTACACTATCCATTTCATTTCGATCGAATTATAATTTTTTCCAAATTGCTATCGAGATATTAAGTGCGTATTATCAACCAACTACTAGCATCGTCCCCGCGAAATTTCCTCGATGCTCGGAGATTTCCACTGTAGGATCACGAAGCTTACACCGTATTTTTAGAATGTTAGCTCACCAGAAGATCGTGAATCTTCATCGAGGCGTCGAGAGTGAACAACGTTCGACAATTGACTCGACTCGATCTTTTTACTTTCCTCTCTCCTATGGTGTCCAATCAAAAGAATCACGCATGTGTTTTTTTATTATTCCATATAATCTTCTCTTTAGTTTTTCTTTTATATTTCTCTTTCTCTCTCTTTTTCTCTTTCTCTCTCTCTTTCTCTCTTTCTTTCTCTCTCTCTCTCTCTCTCTCTCTCTCTCTCTCTCTCTCTCTCTCTCTTTTTATATCAATCCCTTCTTCGATAGAATTTTTAACATAGAGTCTTTCTTCTCGAAGATTAGCCGTTACAAGTATTCAAACGAATTATGATTATAACAAACTTCGTCACGAGATTCTTTTCAAATGTTCATTGTTCACTGTCAAACTTTGTCTTTTCTTTATGATTGTTATTATCCATTTTTTCCTTTTATTTTTTTCGGAAAAGACACGATGATCATTCATCGAGTCGACCCAATTTTAACTAAAAATCTTCCCTATGACTCTTCGCACTCTCGTTCACACACTGCCACTATCTTTTTCCCAGTACGCAAACCAGTAAAAAGTTCTCGCACACATAGTCGAAGATCCCCGCCATGTGGTGCATCTATTTCAGTGCTCGCTCTCGACTCGCTACAGACTATCGCTGCTAACAGATACGCCTTGAACAAATTCTGAACACGATCATGCTTCTTCTCTTACTCTTTCTTCTCTTCTCTTTTTTGTCGACTTTGCAATTTTTTCATCGTTCACATCTGTACACTTTTTTTTTCTCTTTTCTTTGTATATGCATATATATACACACATACACACACATATATATATATATTCAAATATGTAAGTATATATATACTTACATACATATATGCGTGTTTTTTTCTATTTTTAGATGATTGTTATTAATTATTATCTATAAAAAATACTGTCCCGTTATTTTCATAGGAAAGATATTTTCAAAAAAGAAAAGAAAAGAAGACAAAAAAGTGGAAGAGGAATCTTATTTAGAATTCATTAGAGACAAATCTCTAGCGAGTCAAGCGTGAGCATTGAAATAGATGCATCACAAAGTCGAAGAATCATGACGCTGTGTGTACGATCCAGAATATTTATGATGTATGCATGTATGTATGTATATATATATATATATGTGTGTGTGTATATATTTATATATATATGTTTATATATGTGTAAGTATGTATGTATGTATATATATATGTACGTATATATGTAACTACGCATATGTATGTATAGAACACATCACTCAATAAGTCTCCGGTCTGACACATATATGGCAACACTGTTACAGACCCATATGATTTCTGGATAATAGCATCCTTCAACCGATACATGTCAAATTTTCATTCTGATTTTACAGGTTACAGTGGTTTTAGTGATCCCAGTTTTATAATTTTCAAAACAATGGATAAAAAAGAATTTCGTATGTTAATTAAACATTGTTTTTTGATGGGGAAAAATACTGTTGAAGCCAAACAGTGGCTTGATAAGCGTTATGGAAACTCTGCACCACGGAAATCAACTATTATTGACTGGTATGCTGAATTTAAACGCGGTCGTACAAATACCGATGATGCTGAACGCTCTGGTCGTTCAAAATCGGCAGTTGTTCCGGAAAACATAAAAAAGTCCACAAATGTAACTACATATATGTAACTACATGTATGTAACTATGCGAATGTATGTATTTATGTATCTAATTACGAGTAAGTATACATGTATATATATACGTATATATACATATATATATATATGTATGTACGTAATTACAAGTATGTATACATGTATGTAACTAGATATTTGTACATTCATGATACGTATGTTCGGAGATGATTAAAATTTGAGAGTTTCAATTTCTAAATAAAGGATTAATTTTCATAAATAATAATCGCGGGAAAGAGGCCGCATCGAACAATTTCCGTAGAACACGCGATCGGAAAGCGTTTGACAAGACCGCAGATGGGAAGTCATCGAACTCCCGTCCATAAATAGTTTACAAATTCTATTCGCGTTAATCGATTACGGGTATTCGTTCAATGAATTGTAATTTGAACATTTCGAGAACATGGCTGCATCTCTGACTGACTTCAGATTAATTAGTTTCGAGATGTAAATCGATATGATCGAATCTCTTCAACTTTTTGATTCCATTTACGTATGTATGTACAGTTACATTCAATATTCACTCGTTGATCACTTTTTATTATTGCAGTACTTTAAAAATTATCATACATCAAGGTGATCATTCGTAGTTTTTGATTTTAATTCGCTTCAAGGATATTCAAAGTGAACAGTAAAAAGGAATTGAATAAAAATCGAAGAAATATTAATTGGATTGTTCGATCGTAATCGGTCGTAAAGTAAAAATCGAAAATAAATGTTTTTGAAAATTCTCGTGGAATTGGAAGAACATAAGGTCGTTTCTTTCTGTTTCACGTACAACTCTAATCTGACACCTCGTCCAACCGACGAGACCTTGGAAAAGTTTCTGGCATTCAGCAAGTTCGCTGGGATTGACCTTTTCCACGAGCTTACGCAAGGTTGAACTTCCTCAGTGCTTTCTCGGCACGCAAAGTTCAGATTCTCTTTAGACATTCGAGTTTCGCTCCAACAAGTTCTCTCTTATGTTTATCTGCCATCTTTCTCCCTATTAACATCGAAATGAGTTCTTCCTTTCTTTGAAATTTCATCCTCGTAAAGTATACGAAGAGTTGCTTGAAAGAATGCACAATAAGGAAAGAAATAGTCTTTCGATTCTAATCGAAAATAATTTGTTAATAATTGGGATTAATTTAATAAGAGAAATAAAAGGATGACAAAAAGGTTAGGAGGGTAGGTCGTGAATGTTCGTATCATCCTATATACTCATCGCTCTTGGTACCTCTCTTACTCCTTCCACCTTCACCCTTAAAACATAATAAGCCTCCTATAGCAAGCAATTTAGCTATTATTGACGAAAACAGACCCTCTGCTCTAATTGCGAACCGATCGATAAGCATCGATAAGAGACTCCTACGGTATTCTGAGTAGCAGTTGGAACTTATCCTTGCAGGAGTTCGCTTCGAGGAAAGTTCATTTCTCTCTCTTTCTCTCTTTCTTTTTAGAAGAGTGATAGAGTTTTTGAAAATTCGAACTTTGGATTCTTTGAAAGTTGTTCGATGTTGTTTACAAGTGGACGATATTTTTCGAAGAAAATTTTCTCCATCTATTTCTTATTTTCTTCTTTCTGTTTTTCTTCTTCTTTCATTTTGCTTCGAAGTTTTGCCTATTAGCAGAACGAGCACGTGGTTGTTGTCGGCAACGACGAAAGTGTAGTAGAAAGGGAATTTCGTTTCGTTTCTCGATATTTTGCTACGTTCATCACAACCTGTGGTTCATTCATTTTCTTCGCCATTTCTTTCTTCTTTCCTTTCTTTCTTTCTTCTTTTTCCAATGTTTTTAGAAAGTGCATTCAGAAAGCAAGCATATCAATTTTCTTTTCAAAGGTTTCACGAATGAATTTAAGATGATTGCCAATGATCGATTGGACAGTATCCTCAATAACATGAAAGAGTAGATTAAAAAACAAAATGGATAAATACGAAAATATCGAAATCGTTGGTGAAGGTAGTTACGGTGTTGTAATGAAATGTAGACATCGTGAAACCGGCCAAGTGGTCGCGATAAAAAAGTTTTTAGAAACAGAAGAGGACGTTCAAGTTCGAAAATTGGCCCTACGAGAGATTCGGATGTTGAAGGTAATATTTGCGTCCATTCAATTAGATTAGTTTTTTTTTTAGTATTATTCTTTTCAATGTAGAAACTGCATCATGAGAATATCATCGACATGATCGAGGTTTTTCGCCGTAGAAAAAGATTTCATTTGGTTTTCGAATTCTTGGATCACACTGTCCTCGATGAATTAGAACGATCTGCTGATGGCCTCGGATTAGAAGTTTCGAAACGTTATATTTTTCAAGTACTTCGTGGCCTGAATTTCTGTCACAATAATCACGTAAGTGATCGACCATTGGGTAACAATGTTATTATGAATGTTTTTTTCGTATTCCGTGTGTCAAGGTGAAATTTTAAATGGCAATAATGAATTTTCATCTGTGATTTTTATTATTTTTGAAAAGAGGTTATTTTAATTTTTTATTTATCTTCTTTTTCTAACGAGATTTCAGGATAATGTTTATTCCTATTGTTTTTTTTTCATTTTTTACCAATGGGATGTCATAACTTTTTTCAAAATTCTAAAAAAAATTAAATTTCAATGAAACATTTTTATATCCATTAGTTTTTGCTCTATCGTTTCATTTTGTATGACTTTAACATTTCATCATGATTATGGATGAAATTTAAGGATAAATGCGAAATAGTTGAATAAATCTATTAAATATCGACCTTGTTCGATGTGTTAACAGATTTCATAGCAAGGTCGATTCAAATAGATACATATGCATATTTAATGAGAAGCGAAATATTCTATGATAATTGCTTGTATTATGCATGAATGATATCATTGTAAAAAAATACATTGTTTAATATTCGCAATCGAACGCATAAAGAAATCATTTAAAAGTTTATTACCACTATTTCATTTTACATTTATATTTTTATGTAATGATTACTTATGTTTATATTAAACAATTTCGTATTTATCCAGAAAATTTTGCAAAATAATTTTCTTCGATAGATTACTGGTAATCAGTAAATAAAATATATAGTAAATGTGCCTATTTTAAACTTCGAACGAAGTGTATATAATCCTTAATAAATTTTCTGGCTTTGACGTAAGATTTTGGATGCAGCTAACGTGACGATTGCGACGTTCCTTATTAATAGTTATATCGTAAAAGCAACAACGCCAACAACGATTAGTTGAAAACTTGTTGAAATAATATGCAGAAGATCTCGAATATATATAAATGTATTCATTCACGATAGCACTTATAATTACTATCGTATGTTATTAGATACTAGAAAAAGTCAAAGTTCAAACCTTGTTTAATGCGAGATTTTTGTTAATTTACATTTTTTTATTCGACTTATCTTAGAACAATTCGCAAAATCGTTTTTCTTAATCTCATGTTGGCAAACTAAATACATTCCGATCGTATATACTGAAGAAATAATATCTGTTTGAATTTCTTAATAATATATTTACATATATCAAATGAAATATGCACGAAATGAACTTCTTCAATGTATCAAAGCGATTTTTTCCGAAGAAATAAATAAAAGAACGCAAACGACTCATTTTTATTATTAGATTATGCACAGAGACGTCAAACCAGAGAACGTCTTGGTCTCATCGAACGGTGTAATCAAACTCTGCGATTTTGGTTTCGCACGATTGATCAGCAGCTCGAAAGAATCCTATACGGATTATGTAGCGACGAGATGGTATCGTGCACCGGAACTTCTCGTTGGTGATTCGAAATATGGCAAAGAAATTGATATTTGGGCGGTCGGTTGTCTTTATGCTGAAATGATGACTGGTGATCCAATTTTTCCAGGAGACAGTGACATCGATCAGCTTTATAGAATTACTAAAGTCCTAGGTAAGATTTTAACTAAATCGATGTAATGAAATTTAGTAATTGTTCAATTAATTATTATTTTGTTCAAATTCAGGAAGTATTCGCGGTAGACACCAGGTATCAATGGGACAAAACTTTCTTTTTAGGCCATTACGATTTACTACTGTTGACGAGCTCATGATTTCTCAAGAACCATTATCCTTACGAAATCTCTTTCCTTCGTGGAGTTCAGTGAGCTTGGACTTTCTTTCACAGTGTCTTCGTATGGATCCAGACGCTAGACCCAACTGTTCCACTTTACTCGACCACTTTCTTTTCCTTCAGGAAAATTTCAGTAAGAAATTTCTTAAAGAGTTAAAAATATATATCGCTAAGGAGTCGTATTTAAATCCATTTTCGAGAAAAAAGATCCAGGATCGAAAAGCCAGCATACTTTCAGCTAAGCAAAATTTTAGAGTTTGCCACGGCAGCGCTGGAAAGTAAAAATCTATCTTCTCATTAGTAATTTAATAATTTTTATATCTCATTTACTGACAAACAAATCGAATTTATTTAAGATGGCAAATGACGATCTTAAACGATACCAAAAAATTACGCAACAAGATAGAATTTGATAATACTGTCGAAGAAATACAACGAAAGTTATCGGCTTTGCAAATCAATCGTCCGCGAGAAGTTTGCTACTTTGGTCCGGTTTCCGTGATGCCTAATACGACTTATATACAAAGGTTGGAGCTTAAAGGTCTTCGAATAAAAAATTCGAAGGGTTGTTCTTTACCAGCCTTAAGGCCAAAAGATTCGATACAAGCGAAAACGAATAGCAAGAGAAAGAGGCTGGATTTGCCTTCTGTCGATCATTAAAAATGTACGTTTATTCCTTAATCAGTCTTCATTGCTTTATTATATCTTTTTTACCTTTCTTTCTTTTTTTTTTAATTCTTTAATAAGTATCTTTTAATTACGGGGTGGACTTAGTAAGGGTCGATGAAAATAGGTACGAAAATTTTTTATAATTTATATAATTAAACTTGGAATTATAGTCAATATAATATATAAAGGGACTTATATTCAACCTATTTTAATTAATTAATCGTCCAATTAGCTTAAACATTCACAGAGCGTTACATGTGTGAACTTTTTCTTTTGATGGTAAGAATTTTATGATAAAATAGTATTATGAAATCATTACAGAGGTTATGATTTTTTTCGCTATTGAATATCTGCGTGCATAATTTTTATATATTCTATAGAATACATAGATGAATTTTATTGACAATGATTTACGTAACTTTTGATTGACGAATAAAATAATTCATTACGATGTAAGACAAAATATCGAATGATATACGAATTATAATAATGTAAGTAATACGGAAATGTAGATTTTGGATGTGGTTGAGTATGAGAAAGTAGAGATTATTAACGAAGTTATCCCTTCGGTGGAACGACATGAATATATTTTATATTTTCACAAATTGTAAATAAAATGGAGTCTTATTTAATACGTTTATATAGATATATCTGTAAAATTTACTTATTAATTTAAAAACTTTTATCATAAGGGTTGAAAGGTTTTGCTTTATGATACGAAAAGCGATAGCTGGAAAAATGAAATTGACAACATTAAAATTGCTTTCGACATAATATTGGAAATTATACGAAAAGCTAGTTGAGGATTAACTTTAACGAGGCGAAACGCAGGATTCGGACATAAACGTACAAGTTTCCTGACCTGATCCACTTGCATAATATAGACGACCAAAGTTCTCGACTGTATCTAAACGTGGCCAAGAAAATTCTAGCGAAATAGTATACGGAAGAAGACAACTTTTTATAATTCAATACTTTTTCGATTGACACTTGGCCAATGTATTCAATTTGTATTGATTCTGTAATTCGAATACCTATCTAAATGTTGAATTTTAACGTCTATAAAATATTTCAATTGTTTCAGATGATTTAACTCTCGATAAGTTTATCGATTTTAAAAGTTAAAAATTTGTTCAAATTGCAATTTCGCTTAATGATAGCTTTCAACATAAATTAAAATATAAGTTTAAATATCGCACTGTTTGAAAATTTCACTGACTGAATCGATAAGGTAGAAATTTATATATGCGAAGAATTTTAATAACAAATTATAATATTATAGTACACTGATTTGTTTATTGTGCATTCAGTTTATTGTTGAAATTAAGTTTGATATTTATAAAAACCGAATTTCGTATAGCAGTAATTATTTCAAGAATCTTTACGTAGATAAATTTCCGTTTTCACTTGATCTTTCTTTCACGATAAATTTATGGTGACTTTTGTCTCTTTTTCTCATACATACGAATATACGGATTGCATATTAACATTTCAAGGCAGAGCCATCTAGCGCGGAATTCATAAAATACAAAAACATCGTTCGGTAAAATTTTGTGGATATTTCTAACGTGAAATATCATTTTATCGCAAGTTATTTATTTTTATCGAAATTCTTCGTCATCTTTCACTCGAAGCGTGTGTGACTTTAGCGACAAGTATGGACAAAATATTAACTACAAGTACAAGCGGGAAACACTGTTCCCACCATGTGTCTATCGTATCAGTGTTTTAAGTTTATTGGTTATATCTCTTTTACGCGTAAACAACAAGCGGTTTCGTTAAGTAAAGTAGTTTAGTACTGTGAACTCGCGCTTTTAGTCTCTCATATATATATCTTTTTTTGATAGAGTTCGGTTTGCTAGTGATCCATCCTAAAACGATGTCCGTACGCATTTGTTTCACGACAAATGCATAAAGAATAATAAATATAATTACATACATATAATACATATAATAATTAGTATATAAATTTACGACAGGAAACCAAATTTTGCTGAATGTTATGTCAAAAATAATTAGTGAATACTTATTATATTATATTATATTATATTATATTATATTATATTATATTATATTATATTATATTATATTATATTTTATTATATTATATTATATTATATTATATTATATTATATTATATATATACTTATTATATTATTATATTATATATTATTATTATAGTAATAGTAGTAATAATATTAATAATATAAAGAGATTCTACAAAGAAAATTATAAAAAAATTGCGCTGAAACTTCGGAGTTAATTCAATAAAAAAAATCACCAGAATCTACGTGATTCCTGAATTACGAATTTAGCTGTTTGACAATCTGCTACACATTGCTAATAGAATTTCTACGTTTTTAGTATATAAATTATAAAAGAAATTATACATTTTTTCTAAATTTAATAATATTTTAGAAACTTAGATCATTCTGTTATAGAATCATTACATTTTGTGATAGAATCATCTGTCCAAGCTCATAAAAGTGACCGAGTAAAGTTACTACAGCTTCTCCATGCGAGCATTGTGAAACAGATTTCTTTACGTTTAGAATGGTTCAAAAAATCTGAGTATCATATATTTACGTACACAAACAAGCAGGCAATAGCTACTTCACGAAAATAAAATACGCCATTCGAATGTATATATTAAAATCATTAGTGAGGATACAAGCTTCTTTTCTTTCGTTAAAGATGTCAAGGGGCGCCACTGTACAAAACTTTTCTTCGTGAAAAACAGCATTTACACCAACAATGAGAACAGACGTAATTCTTAATCAATTTTGATGAAAAAGATTTCTTTTCAAAGACGAAGATTTAATATAGGACCCTGCTTACTCGAATTTTTGAAAAAGCTTTTTATTTGTGCATGAACTATTCTCGAAATAATACAGTTTTTTAACACAATTTTTTTTTCAGGGGAAATAAGGCTTTTATAAAAATTCAGAAAAGTGAGGTCTTAGATTAAACCTTCATATTTAAAATGAGAACTTGCTAATTAAAATAGTTCAAGAATTACATCTGCTCTCATCGTTGGCGTAAACCATTATAAAATTATAGGGGTGATGAATAGCCTTAAAGAAAAAAATAAAAAAAGAAGTAGAAAATGATGAATACTTTTAGAACAAATTACTTTCAATTTTCCTTTAGCGTTATGTAATATTGAATAATGTTAATTTGGAAATATATTTTTGTTTCTATCTTCCCCGTTTCTTTTTCTTGTAACGACATCGCATGTATTCCCTTTCAGAGTAAGTGGATACGTATGTCGCATCGTAGTGTCTGCGTATCGGTATATGAAAAATTACAGAAGAAAATTACTGTGCGCTCTATCGGACATACTATAACTCTATAACTTAAGAAGAAGAGTTAACCGACGATGATGTCTGATTATTTTCAGACATGTAATTCGTACGTTCGCGGTACCACTCGAAAGCCGGCTAGACATCCCTTATCCTAGAACACATGGGGATAGGTCGATATGGTTTATAGTGCTACAGTATTATCGTACGACGCGAGCTACGAGGGAGGTTACTAACCCTGAATGCAGGGCCGCATTCGCTTGTTGGCTTGTCACTTATTTTTTCGACAAACTTCGACCGTATTAAGAATATATCATTCCACATAATCGTATGCATTTTCGAGGAAAATACGAATAAAACTAATAATTTGTAAAAGATCGTACAAGCGTTTTTATTATAGTGGATATTCGAACGATATATACG